GAAATACAAGGGCAACATTATACAGCAATGCAGCAAATAAAAAACACATTAAGAAGCAAAATGACCATTATTTCAATACAAAATCCATGCAGCAAAGAAACTTGCTGCATAACAGTAACTACAAGGGCACTCGGAGAGCGCATACCTCCGCCAAGGCTAATGCCATATCTCGCAATGTTAAAGAGAGTTTTAAACAATCCTTGGTCCACCCGCTTTATTAAATCTGCTCCAAAAGTGGCTCATACTGCATATCTTCTACCAAGTTTCAAGAAAACTGTTTCAGTAGTTTTGTGTAATCCTGCTAACAGACAAACAGTAATGTGAACATAACCCTCTTGGGGCTAATCAAGAGCAAATACACAAAACATTGCAACACCCACACAACACAAAATAAATATGTGGTAAACACGAGAAATAGACACTTGTCAATTTTGCTCAAAATGTCTGGTTTTGGGAGATATTTGGGTACTATTGTTAGCCATTTGACTCACAAGGAACCTCTGTTGTGGTGAAGGACTCTTTGTTTTTCTATTGTATTTGCATCATCTCTTTATTCCGTGCATGTGTGCTCATACTGGAAAACTTGGCATGCAACCAAAGGAAGTCAGATTCCTCCCTTGCTTGTGTTTAGAGTATATGTTTTGAGTTTCTTCATGTTGCACTACGTTTGTTTGGCTCTTCCTGTCACTGAACAGGCCAGCACGTTTGCTTTCAAATAGCCACCTTGGTGATACCTTAAAGGCCTTTTTTAGACATTTAGCCTTTCATAGATTTCAACATATCAAAGCAGGAACAGCAACAGTGTCAATAATACGAACAATGATTGCTGAATTCAATTTTTGTCATTGTTTCACGGTCCTGGTTTTGCACATGACCTATGACACAATGAGGCCATTTTTAATCTTGATAGCATCACCTGTGGTTTTACTGTTGTGACAAGTCAAAATGTGTACTGCAAATACGGCATGTAGATTATCCTTCAATATTCAAGTCGAAAAGGAGACAATGTCTTTGAATTTTGATATACTGTCAAATGAAAACTCACTCACATAAGTGTAATTCCCTGTTTCCCATTTCAGTGCTTCAAAAGTTGTACATTTGAACATATACTAATCGACTGTAAAGACAACTGTGAAGTGCAAATAATTGGATGCTTGTTTCCAACTTATAGAAAACTGCTAGCTCATTAAATGCTGTGGAGATCCCTTTTCTGACTACAGATGTACCGGACTGTATCAACAGGTGCACAGTCAAAGCTGTGGGCATTTTCTCTTGACCTTTGCTTATCACACTGTGGACCCACCTATGTTTGCTTCTTGCTCTAGTGGTGGCACTCACTGGACTCCTTTCAGAGGAACATACTTCACTAGATGATAAACTCCAAAATAAATCACGACACGAAAAAGCCGGGCTTGGAATTTGTTGAAAAGCTGCTATTATTTACACTTCGCTGATAAGAAATCACCAAGGCCCATTATAACTCCCTCCACCACACAGAATGAGTTAAGCATGGCACGTTAGCACTCGGGCCACTGATACAATGGAAACACTCTGAGCCTGAGGCCAGATGTTTGACAGGACATGTAAAAATATGGGTTATGCCCTCGTGAAATAATTTAATATTTCAATATATTACATCATATATTATATTACAAGTAGGTAAACGGCATAACATGGTGTTGTAATTGTTATTATAAGTCTCGTAAACTGTGCTTTAAACTGACAGGGACAAACCACATTGTCCGTAACCGATTGAAGTTAATGAGGTGAGATGAGGACTGACTATAGATCCGCTGTCATATTGCGTTGATTCTATATAACTGTATTTATATTTTAAATATTTGGGCCAAGTTATTTTAGCTGTAATGTCTCATATTATAACTGTATTTTATTGGCATTTTAACGTTGCAAAGTCTGTATGTTTTTTTTACTTTACTTTGTTTATTCATTTAATTGGGGCAGGACTAATTCTTCAGATGAACCTATCCAGTTTTACAAGGCAACCTGAAATAAAATAAAATAACTTATCTTATGTAATCACAAATGTATAGTGTTAATCTATTAATGTGCATTGTACATAAAGTAACTGTAGCCACGATCAAAATGGTTTACACTTCAACCTAATAAAGGATTATTTTATCTCTACATTTTTATACTCTAGATTTCTCTTATTGTTCTAATCCAGATGTTTAAGTATCTCATACTAAGGTGCATTATAAATACATGTTGGTATGATGGTTTTCTTTGTTGAATTGTTTTTCTCCTCGGTTTCTGTGTCTGTACTTGAACTCAATGATTTCTCAATGAGCACAAATAAAGGTTGTAAATAAAGGTGAGAGAGGCCAAATATCACAGCATGTAATTCTTTGCAACACTATCATGTTATTTTGTGAGGGATGAAACATTGTCCAGAGGCTCGATCAACACAACCGGTGATCGGTGAATAACAGGCAACACCTGCTGTCCTGCGACAAGCGGCTGATGTTGACCCCACGTCAAGCTTCATGTCCCCCGCTGCCAACCAGTCCTTCATCCCCACATCTGTGTGTGTGTGTGTCCCTCCACGTACCTTTGCCATTCTGCCACGCTGTGTACCAGGACAGGCTGAGGAAAGACGTGAAGAAAATAATCGCAGTGGCCACAGTTCCATTTCTGAGCCTCATCTCATTTCAGCGATGCCTCTCCTCGGCTGAGTGTCGGGGACCCCCGGAGCTGCCTTTGCCTGCCTCCCTCCCTCCCTCCCTCCAACCTCTCACCGCCCTGAGGATGTTGACTCGGCCGTGGACTCAGACATATGAGGGCGTCAAATGGTTTTTGAAATAAATAATAATTTTAAAAAAAAGATGAGCTCCAGGCAAGCAGGAGTGTGAGCACAGGGGGAGAGAAGAGGAGAGGAGCTGCTCGGCTGTACCCCTGGGTGTCGGTGCGTCTGCTCCGGTCGTTGTTCGGAGGGCAGTGGCGGGCTCCTCCCGTGCCCCGTCCTCCAGCGATCAGTCACGAGTCAACCGCTTTGCGTGACAACTCGGCTCGCATGGTGGTTTGAGGCAGAACAAGCTAGCTGCCCACGTAACCCATCGTGGAGGGGGAGGTGGGGGGTTCCGTCTCACAGTCAGTTGTTAGCTACAAGTTCCGCGGAGGAAGCATATCGAGTGTGTGGCGGCTGATGCTCTGGGATAGGCTGCTCCGGCTCTGACGGCGTCCCGCGGGCTACGCCTCAAAGCACGCTGACTCTGCTTCGACTGGCAACAGATGGATAACAAATAGATAAAAAGCGGCGTGTCGCTACCCAGGTCAACCTCGTGTTAATCTCTCCCGCGTACACTCGCTAACTTCAACCGGCCGTGGCTAGTGGCTCGACCCGGAGACTGACTGCGACACAGCCCGTGTGAGCTAGTTAGCTGCGGAGCTAGCGTGAAGCCGAGAAGCAGGGGTCCCGTCCGTCAACCTGCCTGTTACCAAAACAAAAGCAGCCGGGGGAGGAAGCGGGGAGAGTCGTCGCGGGTCCCCCGAAGGATGGTTCTACGTTTCTTGTCAACACTCGTCCCAACATGAGTTAGTACCAAGAAACTGCGTTAAAACGTCCACATTAAGGTTTTAACTAAATTACCTGAAGATCAGTTTTCACCCTCCAGTAGCTGTGAGCAGGGTTTCCGGTTAGAACTTTCAAAATAAAGCCGTTAAAGTCTGGGTTAGCTGCACAGAACCAGGCCCCAAAAAACTGCAAATGTAGGTTTACATCATTTAAATCGTGTCTTTATCTGTCAGACATTTACACCAGTGAGGTACACTATTAGCTGGACTTTCCAAAAGGATATAGAGTGCAAGATTTAAAAAAAAACAATGTATGGATCATCCATCCTCTAAATCTAACATCTGGATTTAAACTGTTTATATTTGCACATATCGCTAGTGTCAAATATATATATACATATATTGGAGCAATTGGTTGCAAAGTTGTGTTTAAAGAGGAGATAAGAGGAGATAAGAGAAGCTTTATTGGTCCCACAAATAGGATTATAAACTTTTACTGCAGCCGATAGTGCAAATGATGTAGAGGAGACGAAATGAGTATGAAATACTATGAATGGTGAAATGATAGGATAAAACTACAAATACATATCATATGAAAATGATCATAGTATACACCTTTCACTACCGACCGAAGACATCTGTAGAGAAGCGTACTGAGTTGTACAGAATGATTGCACAAGGACGTATACTGTGTTTGTGTATTATGCATGAGGAGCTACTGAAATGTATATATTGCTTTTACTACCAGTACATAGGCAGGTGTGGTTTACAATATTAATTAGTTTAAAATGGTATGTGTTCACCATGAGAGGTATACATATGGGATAATTATAAAAATAAATTGGTCAATGTTTAATTAAATTGATTGTATTATTCCCTCATTTTATCTGATCATATAAATGAGACAGATACTGAAAAAACCAGTTCGGTTGAAACTTGCCTAATTCTTTTGCTCTGCTCTGGAGCTGCAGCCACTCCTCATTCAACAAGTTGAAAGTACGTCATCTAGTGGCCTTACCTTCAGCTGCATTCACCTAGATGTTATCTGTATGCACCATCACAGGAAACCATGCATCCAACTACTCCATTAGAATAATTAGAAGAACCTTCTTTCCCCAGGAAACATCTTCACATTATATGATAAAATTTATTAAGTTTAAAGGTGAGTTGTAGAGGTCATTTCTGTGGAGAGTGGTAATGATAGTCAAAAAAAGGTAAATTCTTATTCTACTCACACCCAATTACATTGCATTGCTTTTGAATCAGACAGCTCTGATGATTCATACGAGCAGCTGTGTGGGGACAGTATCATCCAGCTAAATAAGGGTTCATTGTCCAGTCATGACCTTGAAAACAGCAGCTGACAAAACTTTACTCAGCGTCCATTTAGAAACAGCTCTTGACCTTTTGATCATATCACATGATTTCACAATCACATGMAGTGTTGTTAAAGTGCTAAAAAATTGACATTTGCTCATTTAAAATTCCATTTATTAATTAGGATAATGTGATGTGAGTTTAAGCCAACAACTGCTGCTCAATCGACCTTGAAAAGAGATTTAGTCAATCTATTAATAACCAATTCATCTAATAGTTGCCCTAGTTATTTCCATGTCCTATATCACCCACACAACTTCTTCAACCAACTTAATCCTTTGACAATACATTTCCCAGCGAAGCTTTAAAACAAAGTGAACACAATAAATCAATGTTTTCTTAAAAATTAAATATGCGCAAGAATTGTATGTTCACAATACAGTATAGTTTGATGCAAACCCATACAATAGTAGCCATTTATTGTTTGAAAATAATTAATTAATGACACAGGCCAGTCTATACCAGCAGTGAAGACCGTGACCTTTAAATTTAATAAGCTCACTGATGGTGATTTAAAATACATTCACACAGGAACCTGATGAACTGATTTTGTCCCAAACAAAGAAAAAATGGTGAATTAAAAAAAGCTTTTAAGTAATCTGTGAACATTGTCTTGTCCCTTCTTTGAGTGACGTGCGGTGCAGACAGCTGACTGGTCTGTTTCTGTAGGCTGACGTGATGCAGAGGGAGGGATATTCTCAGAAGGGTGTTGCTTTAAAGTAGTCCTCGATTGGTATGAGTGAAACGCCCCCGACCCAGTCCTGCAGCCACACTTGGATCAACTCCAGCTTCATGAAGAACCACTTGTGTCCCACTGGCCACTTCGCCATAACAGGATGTCTATAATAAAACCAACAGCATTGCATGATCAGGCTGCACAACACTCGTGCCAATTATATTTAGCTGCTTTTAGACAAAGCACCAAACTCATTTTCCTGACATTTTCCAGAGGAGCTGTATGAGAGAACACAAATGTTCAAGTCAGTTGCTTGGGACATTTTCCAAAAGATTTAGTCTCCGCCCCCTTGTAAATGTCAGACAAATGTCTGAGTGAGCCCACATGAGAATACAGCAGGAAGCCATCTAGATAATTCACAGTTAGCAAGTGGACATGATGATCCGACATGTGACGGAAGCAAAACTGAAAAAAACACAAAGAATACAAATATCTCAGGATGAAAAAGAGGTGCCATACACATAGAAGTCTTTGGTGTCAACTCAGAGAGACAGTGAGATTAGAGAGCTTTGGAAGATAAGGGCCCACTTGTTTGTGTCAATGTGATGTAAACAAGAAGACGTGCTTTCCACAGCGGAATTTATTCCTGTCCTGCCTCCTGCATGCTCTAATCAGATGCCACCCCTCGACTGAATGTTGCTGATATTTTCCTGTTTTTGAAAAATGCATCTGACCCACAATCTCCTGCTGCGTTCTTCATTTGTGAAACGTAAACTCTGGAAAATGCCAGGAAAATTGGGGCTACTTCATTCATGTCTGAAAAGGGCTTCTGTTTTCATTTTACCTGGAGAACATTGCTTCCTTTGCAAATGCAAGCTCCTCTGGCGCCACCTCCACCATCTTGCCTGTCAGTGTGAGTCGAGCACATCTTGGATCCTCTGGGTCATACATCATTTGCCTTGAGGTATAAAAGACCAAGTTACCATTGTAACACACACACACAGTGTTTCCTATAGTCATAACTCACCGAATGACAAGACCAATCAGGGAAAGTGGGAAACAGTCCTGGGCCCCACAAGCCTTAGACCAAAGCACATATGCTGCTGCTAGTGGCTCTTACTTCATTAACTTGAGGCTGTGTGTGTGAAGATGAAGATGAAGATGTTTTAAGCATGTGTGTTTTGTGTTCCATTACACATTACGCAAATCATTTGTGTATTATCATTACCACACAACAAAGCTTCAGCAAAGAAAAACTGAACATGTTTCAGTGTGGGAAGAACTGGTGACAGGTTAACTGGGGCCCAGTTTTCACTGTTTTAATGGGCTCAGTGGAGCACATTAAATGTCGAGGTTTACCTGCAGAAATCCCCCTCTGCCTCTGAGAAGGTGAGAGAAGCATACGGGTTATTTTTCAGGTCTGACACAGAGTTGTCCATCGGAGTTACGTAGAAGTAGATAACTCCAGTGCTGTTGTCAGCTGGTCCATCGCTGACTGAGAAGATGTTCCCAAAGGGGAGACCTTTAATCTGTGCAAAACAAAACAGGATGTTAACAAAAACTTCTTAATAAAGAGCAAAGTCAGCAATGAAGTTGTTAAGATGATCACTTGAGTGTTTCTATGGTAGTAGCATAGCATTTTTTGCTGAAGTAAAATAAAACATTGTAAAAACACATTGCTAAAAGTAAAAGTCCTGCCCTTCACATTGTATTTCAGACCCCCCCCCCCCCCATCTGAAACGAAGTAGGATGTAAATAGAAGCTGGAAGTATTCAAGAAAAGTGTACCTGCAAAATGTACTGAGGAATGATACTTGGGTCACCGCCGATGGACCTCTATATAACAGTATGAGCCTTATTATTGCAGTACAGTACATATTACATCACGCCATGCCTGTTTGTACCTTGTCCTGCATGGAGATGGTGGACAGATGTCCCCAGTCACTGTAGTGTGCTATGTATCGGGCGGTCCGGGCGGTCTCCTGGTGCGGTGGCGGCGGGGGAGCAGCGCCGCCGGCGGAACCCTTCACACTCTCCAGTCGGTACGAAAACAAGCGGGAGGACAGCTGCGCCACACCGTCGCTCTCGGGCTTCACCAGCTCCCCGGGGCTCTCCGCGCCGTCTCCGAGGACGTTGGAGGACGGGTACGCCTGCTTCCACAGCCCCGCGCCGTCCACCAGCAGCGCCGGGGCCACCTCCTCCGACAGGTCCGCGTCCTCCACTACATCGTTGGAGGAGACGACCCAGGACACGGAGCTCCTCAGGGTGTAGCTCTGACCGGGAGTGAGCACGCTGCCGAGGAGCGCCAGGAGAATGTAACGGGCCTTCATAGCACTGAGCTCGGGGAGAGTGACCGCACTCACCCGCTCACTATTATGTTTACAAAACTCACGTGGACGCACTTCCGGACAATTTAAGATACAGGCTGCCTACGCTGACCCCTACCGGCCAACCAGGGAAATACATCATAACAACAACAAACAAACAAATGTGGGTTAACGTTGACAGCACATGTGAAGCGCAGTAAATATACAAATACACTAGAGACATACAAAACAGAAATGTATGTAGTATGCATGGAAAATAATCACATATACATGTATATGTAAGATATAGAAACAGGGGTTATTCAGCAGGGAAATTATTTTCTATATTCTCACTGGGTTTTTCATACAGATTGCTCATAAACCATCCTCAATGATGGGTGTGCAGCGTGGTACAGGGTGAAAATCTGGCCTGCAGGTGGAGCTGTACACCAAATTAGTGAGCAATGGATTTCTTATTATATATTTGTTCATAACTGCGTAATGCAACACACAGGGACAAGCTGGGACAAGAGTTAAAACAGAGATTCTTTTCATTGGGTATCAGCAGGTGGTGTAGCACACTGTGCCATCTACTGGCTCTCTGTTGGAACAGTTCAGGCCTGTTTCAGGAATCATGACATCTGGTTTGACAGCAATTTAATGTTTGGACAGCACAATCATGTACAGTCTTGTTTTTAGCATGTCTCAAAAATCAGTTTTTAACTTTTTAACTTTTAAATATAGAGACCAACTGGATTATTGCAACAGCCTTTTTACTTCAGTGAATCAAGAGTCTATCAAGTGAATACAGATTGTTGCTGCCAGGCTTTTAACCAGAACTAAGGTGGGCAATCACATCAGCCCTGTCCTAACCTCATTGCACTTTAGACACTACCAGACTGTAAAAGAATATATCTTAACATTTTACTGATAAGTTTTGAGCCTCTGTGTGGTCTCTGTCCAAGCTTTATCTGACCTTTAGTACTGTTTGCATACTAGCATGTAATATGTGAACCTCAGACAGAGGTCTTTGCAGTAATTTCTGATGTTATTAAAGCAGCATATAACATGCATATTGTTACTGTGACTTTGCCATTGTACACAAAGGGAATCCACAAGTGACATTAAAATATTTTATTATTTAACATACAGTGTCAACAGCTGTATGATGAAATCAGATAAAACGTGATTCTGAAATACCCCTCATCTTAAAGTGGTTGTGGTTCAGAGGGATCATAGTGAACTTTTCAACATGTACTCTATCTTTCAACATTAACACTTTACAATTAAATACAATTCAAACACAACAGCCTCACAACATAAATGATCACAGTATCCACATCATTCTCACAGTCGCACCAAACATTCAGCTCATTAACCTTGATAAAGGTGGTATTTGTCTGCAGGGCAGCTCATCTTCATGTTGCCATATTCTCTATATTTGTCTCTTTTCCCTCTTAGTCCATGGTCTTGTCACTCCAGGCCATTGACTTTCTCTTCGCCAGTTCCATCCAGGACGGTTGGCCGCTGTCCGATATGGACTGCAACTCTGACGACTGTGTGGGGGACGATGAGGGCAAAGAAGATGCCGGCGTTTTCCGGAGCCATTTGTCCTCACAGGGCCTGTCTGGGATGTAGGTGGGGCTCGACTCTAAACAACAACAAAAAACCCTTGTGTCATATTGCTGTAATGCAAGATACTGACTCTCTATGTCGTGATGATTATTATTCTGTTTGTAAACATACCTTTAAGTTTTACCCCTGGTCTTCCTTCTGGTTTTGTGTATGTGCTCGGAGACGTTGTATTGGCAGAGACAGGGGATTCATCTGATGACTGCGCTTCTGTTTGAGCTTTCTTCAGCTCCACCTGAGAAGAGCTGAGTGTTAGATCATCTAATCAGGATAGGATGACAGTCTATGAACCAGGCAGTTAAAGGATGAATCTCTGAATCTGAATAATATTCACTTCTGCAAAGGAGCATAGGTTTTCGTTTGTTTGTTAGTTAATTTCAAACATTACACATAAACTACTCAACTGAAATCCTGTGGAGAGGTGAGACATAACGAAGAACCCATTACATTTTGGGGCAGATCCAGGAATTAAGACTGAGTGACTCAGGCAGCTCAAGGAAAGGATGAGGATTTGTTACAGAGAAGAAAATGTAGTATATTACTAGACTTATCCTTTAGTTAGTTTTCACAGTTGCAAAGATGCACCACAAACCTCCTTTGCTCCAGCTGGTGTGATCCACTCCACCTGTTTTTCTAGAAAAGCAGCCCTCTCACTCACTGACCCGCCCCACACTGCTCGTCTTCCTACAGGTGAGGGACCCTCTTTTTCCTGCCCGCTTGCGTCTCTTTCCCCTTTTCTCAGGGCAGACTCTGGGGGAGGAGGAGCTGTGGTCGATGAGGTGGTGGAAACTAAAGCTGTGGGTTTGAGCTGGTTGGTGGTGTGGACACCTCGATTAGTCCAAGTAGGTGACTGGGAGGTGGCTTGCTGGCTGGAGGAAGATTGTGCAAGACACTGGGTGGCCCTCCCCTGCAGTGCTAACTGAGACGAGGTGTCTGCTTGTGTAGAAGAGCGTAGAGGAGACTGTGTGGTCCATGACTTGGTCTGTACAGGTGGATGAGACAGACACTGTGAGGCAAACTGAGTTGTACTTGGGTGTGACTGGGATTCATTGGTCTGTTTGGATGTTTGTGCTTCTTTAGGAGTGTTTGACAGACCAGTAGAAGCCGTGTTCTGTTGCACTGACACTAGTGATGGTTTGGCAGCTTGTGCTTGACTTGTACTTTGCACCATTGCAGTTTTCACTGTATCGCTTGATGGCTGATTTGCAGCCTGCGATGGTGTTGAACCCTGCTGCATTTTAACAGTCTGTGTCTGCGTTTGTGCACCAATCTGTGTCTCTGTTTGAGTCGTCGGCTGCATTTGTGCTTGCGGTCGAGCCACAGCTTGCGCTCCAGTAAAGTCTCTGGGGAATCTGCTCGTGAAGAGCTGCTGCAGGGTCCTGGTCTTTTCCATTGCGAGGCTCATCCAGGACACTTCAGACGAGGCTGGTGCGGGGGCAGGCTGGGGCTCCTGAGGCACAGAGGGGGAAGTCCCTACTTCTCTGACGGAAGAATCGCCTGTAGATGGTGAGGTATTCTTGAGTGGAAGGGAGGAACCAGATGGGGTTGGATCTGTGGAGGTCATACAAATCTGTTAGACACACTTGACAGCACTGTTAAAGTGAGCCTGGGTGGCATGTTAATGAGTGCAAAGGTCTTTTGTGATCAGTAAGAATCTTATCTCTATGGAGAGATTATTTACAATGTGGGACTTATCGCCTTTCAAAGGTGTAGCATTGTAGAGGGAATCAATGATTAACTTCACACGAGACTGAAAAATATGGCTGTGGGTGGCAATTTCAAACCATGGCTCATTACACAATACGGAGTAAACAAATTTACAAAAATTACCTGAAACTAAGATGATTGCCAATGCCCACAGTTCCCTAATGCATTTATTCGCTTTATTTGGATCTGCACCAAATTTCACACACACATAAATATTAATCCCTGAAACAAGCATGATTTTTCAAATCTAGACCCGTGAATTATTCTCAGAGAAATCAATGTCAATGTTTTATCTCGCAATGTTAAAGAAAGTGAAAAAGAAAATCCTGGATCCGTCATCCTGATACGGATCAACACCAAAAGTTAATGGATTCTTTTCGTTGTAATCCATGATATAGTTTTTGCATAATCCCGCTAACAAAACTGAATCTCCTTGGAGGAGGTAGTAGATTAACGATTTCTCCAAAAACTCACCTGACACTCTAGTGTCTCCAGAGGTGGATGGGGTACAAGAGAGGAGCGGCTTTTTAGACACATAGCCGACATTATCCCTCATCTCCTGCCTGTTTTGTTTGTCACACTGGTCCTCACCGCCTGGAAGCTTCGAGGAATGGTTAAGACTCGCATCAGCTCGAACTCTCATCGATTGAGATGTTGAGCGTAGTTTCACACCAAATGCTGTCTTCCCTTCTTCCTCCTGGACCTCCTCCTGTGCTTCCATTGCTTCCTCCACCTCCTCCTGGCTACTCTCCACCTCCTCCTTTGCTGAAGTGCCTGTGTCTGCGGCTGCATTTTTAGACGCAGATGCCACTGGTTCTGTCTTTTTGAGGGTGTCCCTCTTATCCCATGTAATTCCTGAGCCTTTGGGTAGAGCTCCCTCTTGTTTCAGGTGTCCCACAGCGAAGGGTCCGACTCTGTCTTTAAGTTCCTCTTTTTCCCTTGAGCCTGCAAAACGTTTCTCCTCCGTTCCCCCTTTGCTCTTGTGCCTGGCTTCGGCTTGTATCAGCACTCCCACAAAACTGCCAGATCGAGGTCTCTCTCTATCTTGGTTTTTGGCAGTGGTGATGGAGAAATGGAAGGACCCAGATCCTGGGGCTGATCTCTTTATTCCTCTCATGCTCTCTATCTCATCTTTAACCTGCTGTTGAATAGAGGAAGGCCTGGATGCCACTGCTGAGCTGGAGGAGATCTGGTCTGAGGTCTCTTCAGTCATTCCAGTCTTTTTAAGAGTATTCCTCTTGTCGTGGGACATTACTTGTATCTCAGAATCCCCCTCTCTCTTGTTTTTGAGTTCTGACTCTATAAAGGATGAATGTGGTCGTTCAACCGACATCACATCCACTGGTCTTTGAGGCTTAGGTCGAAGAACCTGCGGGGAGATTGAGGGTATTCTCCCAGGAGGAGCCTGATCCGGTTGGGAAGAAGTCAGACTGGATGATTTGGGGGCTTCTTCTGAAGTGATTGGTGCAACCTCTGGGGATTTGGAAGGAAGATGCTGAGCTGTGGTCGGAGTATCTGCCTCTCCTTGTTCTGTTTGCAGTGACACCTTGTCTGAAGCACAAAGCTGCTGCTCCTCTTCTCCCACAGACTGAGGGTGGTCAATGTTGTTCAGGGCGTGTGACAGAAGCCTAGAATCAGTCTGCTACAACAAAAAAAAAGACAGTGAGGTCAGGAAAGTGAAGGAGGTGTGCTGTGTGTTGTTTGACAAACAGTATGAATCACTCACTGTAGTGAGTCTCTTCTTGGTGCTGGCCCGCTGG